TTAGGCCTGAAAAATGCCCTTCATTATTTTTTTGCAGAGGTGTGGTAAGTACACATTCTGTTAGTTTTTGTTTATATAGAAATATATAAATAATTAATAAATAATAAATATAGAAATAATTAATTCTCCCCCCCCCCTTTTTTAATGATATAGAGTTTTGATGGACATAGACACACTTGGTTGACAGGTTTTTTTTTTTCCCCTTTCATCACTTTGCTTATGTCATCCTACTGCCTTCTGGTGAGAAATCAGCTGCTAATATTATTGAAGATCACTTATAAGTGATGAGTCACTTCTTTATTGTTGCTTTCAAGTTTATCTCTGTCTTTCAATAGTTTATGATGTGGCTTCCTATGAGTTTTTTTTTAGTTGATCGTATCTGAAGTTTGTTGAGCTTCTTAAACGTTTAGTATTTTCATCAAATTTGGGAAGTTTCTGGTCCTTATTTCTTCAATTATATTTTCTGTCCCTCATTCTTTTTCTTCTTTTCAGAGTTCCTTTATGTGTATGTTGGTAAGCCTGATGGTGTCCTATAGGGATCTGTTCATTTTTTTTTTTTCCATTACTTTTCTTTTTGTTACTCAAACTGAATAATCTCAATTTATCTTCAAGATTTTGGGTTCTTGTCCTATGACTCAAATCTGCTGTTGAGCCTTTCCAGTGCATTTTTTTCATTTCAGTTATTATACTTTTCAAATCCAGAATATTTCAAAAATAATTTCTATCTTTTCATTAATATTTTCTATTTGGTGAGACTGCTCGAACATGGTTTCTTTTAGTTCTTTGCACATACTTAAAATAGATGATTTAAAATCTATTACCTAGTAAGTCCAATGATTGAAATTCTTCAGGGGCAGTTCTATTGACTGCTTCTTTTCCTGTATATGTGTTATACTTTCTTGTTTCTATTTGTCTCACTTTTTTGTTAAAAAATGGAACATTTAAAGCCCTGGCCAGTTTGGCTCAGCGGTTAGAGCGTCAGCCTGCGGTCCGGAGAGACCCGGGTTCGGTTTCCGCTAAGGGCACGTACTTCGGTTGCAGTTTGTCCCCAGCCCTGGTTGGTCGTGCGGGTGGCAGCCACTCGATGTGTCCCTTCACGTCGATGTTTCTCACTCTCTCTCCCTTCCTCTCTCTCCCTCCTACTCTATCTGTACAAAAAATGGAAAAAATATCCTCGGGTGAGGATAAAAAAAAAAAAAAATGGAACATTTAAAATAATACAATGTGACAACCTTGGAAAATCAGATTCCCACTGGCCCCTCAGGGTTTACTGTCGTGGTGGTTTCTTATGTTTTTCTTTGTTTAATGACTTACCTAAATGAATTCTGTAAAGTCTGTATATTCTTTACATCTAGTGATTGGCTAATGATTGAACAGAGATTTCCTTATACACTTGAAACAATGAGTCCACCAGTCTTTGCTGAGGGTTTGGGGCATACCTCCAACACTAAAGCAGGTTGTTGAAAAATTTGCTTTAGTTTTCATGCTTGTGCAGCACCTCAGTGTCAGTCAGAGGGGAGAGCTTAGCATCTATTCATGTATAGTCTTGTGTATGTGCTTGGCCTTTTATTAGATTCCCCAGAATATGTCAGAGCCCCTTGTAAGTGGGCATTCCAGGAACCAGCAGACAGGTCAAATGACAATTAGGTTTTGAAAGAGCTCCACCTATGTTTTTCCCTTTGGTGCCTGAGAGGCTGCCATGGGAATGTGAGCTGTTATTTTCTCAAGACTACTCTAGGGCTGGAGAGTGGGGAATGAGACCAATGTAAGTTAAAATAGCACAAAGTCAGACATTTTTCTTGATTAAATGCTCTATAGACTTCTTGAGCCTTTGGGATGAATTCTAAAAATGTTGATTTTGAAACGTTGATTTTTTTGCCAGTTTTTCATTACTTTTATGGAGGAGCAAATGTTGGAGGTCTTGACTATTTTTACTACCTTCCTGCTCTTGGCACTGGTTCTTATATTACGAAAGCAGTAGCAATACTGTGTAAACTATACATGTGACTACTCCAACACCACACTGGAGAATCACATCCTACTACAAAGGAATGATATGGTTGAGGAGGCGATAAAGGAACACAGACATTGCTTCTCTGCCTATAAGGCATTTATAATCATGTTTTAAGGACAACACCAAAAAAAAAAGGTAAAAAACAGCATTGGTGCCTTTAGGAACACAATAAATGCTGAGTTAATAAGAAACTAAGCCCTAATGGAGTGATAAATTCAAGTCCTATAGAATTTCAGAGAAGAGATTCACTAGGGTGGAAAAAGCATCACAAAGAATAAAGGTCTCTTGATAGAATCATAGGAAAGTAGTGAGGAGTGGGAAGAACATGCCAAAAAAGAAAGCTTGTTCAAGGTTTTAGAGGGTTTTAAATATTTTTAATACAAACCTTTATATATTCTGGATGCATGTCGTTTGTCAGATATGCATGCCAACATATATGTTGGTACTTATATTTAAAGCAATAGTCATCTGTCTTGAGAGGAAGTTTCATTGATGGGTATAACGGGAGATAAACTTCAAGACAGTGACTAGCTTAAGGCCTTGAATGCTACTGGAAAGGAGTTAAGACTTGAATCTATTGGCCAGAAGACTGCAAACTAGGACCACAGCTCTCAAGTCAAATCTGGCTGGTACCTACTTTTTAGTAAAGTTTTACTGGAACACAACCATGACAGTTCACTTACCACCATCCATGGCTGGGTTAGGACTACAATGAGTCAGCTGAGCAGCTGCAACAGAGACCATGTGGCCACAGAGCTAAAGTATTCATCATCTGACCCTGATATTGGCCTTGACTCTGGCCTGCACCCTCTGCCAACATGAAAAAGGGAAATTAAAGGGTAGAAACTACTTGAAAAAAAATCTACATATAAGGTGAGCAGCACTAGGACTGAGGAATTTGTCAGGACTTAGGACAGGCTGAAGGGAGAGTAAAAGATGACTCCAAGGTTGTGGACTTGTATGATTGATTGAAAGATGATAATAATAACTGAAACTGCATGTGTGGAGTAGAAGTTTCAGGTGTTAGGGAAACTCCCAGATGGGATATTTAGTTTTATACTAGAAATCCTGCAGAAAGTAGACTTTACATTTATTTATAAAGATATTCAGCCCTGGCCTGTTTGGCTCAGCGGTTAGAGCGTCGGCCTGCGGTCCTTAGAGACCCGGGTTCGGTTCCTGCTAAGGGCACGTACCTCGGTTGCAGTTTGTCCCTGGCCCTGGTTGGTCATGTGGGTGGCAGCCACTTGATGTGTCCCTTTCATGTCGATGTTTCTCTCTCTCTCCCTCCCACTCTACTGAACAAAAAATGGAAAAATGTCCTCGGGTGAGGATAAAAAAAAAGATATTCAGCCTTTCTATTGACTTTATTTTTACTGTAAGATAATAACCCATGCACTAGAGAGCTAAAGGATGATCACAATCTCTATTAAGAATAAACTCCCAAAATGGGGATTACAGAAATGATTGGCAATGAGCCTGCCTTGTGTGGCTGAGTGTCAATCCATGCAAAAAGAGGTCACTGGTTCGATTCCTGGTCAGGGCACCTGCCCAGGTTGTGGGCCTGACCCCCAGTGTGGGGCAGGCAGGGGGCAGCCAATCAATGATCTCTCTCACTGATGTCTCTCTCTCCCTTAAATCAATAAAGAAAAATTATTTAAAAACAAACAGAAATTATTGGCAATGAAAGAGAAATGTGGACACAAAGACTTAGAAAAAAGAAAGGGTACTCCACCAGAGCATAAAATGTAATAGAGAATCCTGGGAAGATAAATAGGTACACTGGCCACATCTCTAAAGATTTCTGCACTTTACTACATGCTTATCCAACCAATCTCTATTAACTAAATCATTATCTTATTGTATTGTAACTATTTATTTGTGTAAGACCTCACGAAAGTTCCTTGAGTGATTTTTTATTTTTATCTTCACTAATATCCACATAGTAGATTAGTATTCACTGAATCACTATACTCATATATTCTTTGTTGCAAGATGCCAGAAACATTTAATTAGAGAGGAAAATTTCCTAAAAGAAAAATGTCATTAAATGTATTAGTGAAAACGAGTCAACCCACTGGCCTACAGATCACACAGTGGAAGTAATACAAGTATTTGAATAAAACATGAACTACAAAATGGCTGACATTTGCTAGGACAAAGTGACAAAAATCTAAGTGGTAAAGTAGTGAACCTTTATAATAAAAACAAAAGTTTCTTGTAATAAAGTAAGTTGGGTATTTTAAACTTTCTAGTAGAGAGATCTTTACAAAAATGTTCAAGTAGTAGATAGATACAGAAACAAGGTTAGCAACGGAGATTCTACAGGGAATATCTGGGAGCCTTCAAGGACTTTTAAAACTTTTAAACAGGTGTTTTATGACATCTAATTTTACTTCAGAACCAATTATACTTAAAAAATGTATTAGCCATGACAAAGTTTTTTTATTGCAAATAAAAATAAAGGAGAAAACTGGAAGAGGATGAACAAAAAGGTTGGAGACACTTCCCAACATGAAATGATCTGAGTTGGTTACCACACTTAAAAAAGGAAAAAAGCCTGGCTGGTGCACATGCCCAGGTTGTGGGCCCAATCCCCAGTGAGGGGCAGGCAAGAGGCGGCCAATCAATGTTTCTATCTCCCTCTAAAAGAAAAAAAAAATTTAAAAAGGGAAAAACAATGTATATAAAAACTCCCAACAAAGTTATTAAAGGAGGTGGCAAGAGGAGAAATAGAGGTGTGATTCTTTGCATCAGCCACTAGGTGGTGGCATTGGCCCAGGAGGGTTCAGTTATGGGGATTGGAAATTAGGTGCCTGGAGTAAGCAATAGCTTGGCCATTTATAGGTATGGGACTGTCAGAGAATGGTATTCTACTTGATTATGTCAATAAAAACTTTGAAAGCAGACATTTTAAAACATCAGGACAAGTTATCAGAGGTTTACTATAAAAAAATTATAAAAAATACAACTGTACTTGTCCACTTACCTTTACTACATTGTCCCCTGATTGTCCGTTATTTCGTAAACAATCTAGACATATAGCAATCTGTGGGTCACTTCTGTGATAGTCTTTATCATCTTGATTTTCATCACCTTCTTCATCTACTTTAGGTTTGTCAACTTTTGAAGTATCATCTGTACAATTTGAGCAAAACTCAAAGTTGATATTCAAGTTAAACAACTCTATTAATCATCAAAACAGAATTGAAAATTTTAATACCGTTAAAATGTTCCAACTAACTCAACAATGAAAGTATTTTTAAAAACCACCAGTGACTTATTAAGATGTCTAGGCTCATTGGGGCATCCAAATGAAAGGTTCAGGACTAGCTATATTTGGCCACAAAAATAATTGCAATTAGTGATTAGATCACTTAGAAAGCAGACAGTATAAAAATACTTCCAAATTATATATATTCAAATTTAAAACTGAGTACTCTTGAGAGCTTAGAGGATTTGAAATCAGCTAAATATAATGAATAGAATGAACTACCTTTTTGAACATGTACATAGGTATATAAGACTCCATTAAAGAAATCTGAATAGTATACTTCATATTATATCAAAATTTACTTAACCTAGAAAATACCTGCAGCCTACATATAATGCAACTATATTTGTTGATTAATTCATTTATTGAATACCTTTAACTCTCCATTAGATGTGCACTGTACTAGTCTAGAGGGAACAAATATTGAAATGAGTTATTATCCACATCCTCACAGTGGTCAGGGTATAAGAGGAAATACAGGCAAGTAAAGAAAACAGATGAAAAAGTTGGATAAGCCCTTTGATGGAAGAGGTAAAACAGACTACGTGGCCACATGTAAGAAAGGTAATAAACCCAAATTTGGGGTGAAGTAGAGATTCAGGGAAAATTTCTAGATAAAATATCTCTAAGCTGAAACTTGAAAGAATTAGCCAGCCAAGCATTACAGTATAGAAAATCCCAGGAAAAAATATAGGTTAGCTCCTCTATAATGACTGTAATATAAGCATTACGGTTCTATAATAAAAAGCAAGTGGGTTCTCTTCTGTATTCTTTCTTCTACATATTTATATGGAACCCACATAGACAGTAGTCGCCTTTTAAGAACCAAACTCCCAGCTTCAAGAAAAAATCCAAATTCTTCACCAAAACATTATAAAATACTTTAAAGACAGAGAAAAAAACCACAAAGTAGGCTGTAGTCTTTCACAAGTCAATCTATAAGATACATAGAGTCATGAACTAAACCTACCACATAGCTTCTGAGGACAATCCTCTGGAACCCTGTCTTCTTGAAAAGGTAGTAAAAAAATTGGAACATTTAGTCAACTTGATATCATCTGTATTTTTACGATAGCACTACTATCTAAATTGTAATTTATGCTCGGGTAAAACAAGCCTGTAATTAAGTCATTTTTTGTCAGGCTTGGTTTCTTTGACTATTTTGTTGTAGAACAAAAATAATCCCTTGCTACCTTAGCCAAGTCATTCAAAACTAGGCTCAAACCTCCGCTACTATAGAGCCTGCAGAGTTAAGTTACACCAATGAAACTAAGATCCTCATTTTACAGATAAAGTACATTTTTTCACCTATCTTAATTATTAATGTAATTAACAATCCTATAATTTTATGGAAAACCCAGAGATGGGAGATTGGGCTCACAAGTGAGCCTATAAAAACACACATACATCCTTGAAAGATCTCAGTGGTACTTAGGTCATCTTGAAATAAATCTTATATTAAATAATGGGAAAGGATACTTCCTTATAATTTCAGGTATGTTGTACTTTTTTCTCTGCCCAGTAATGCCTGCTACTTTGCTGAAATTATTACAAACTTACTGATGGCTGAGTCTCCTGGCACCCAGAAAAGAAACTCGGATACATAGCACTGATGATGGGAAACATTCCCATAAGCTCCTACAAATATTTTTCAAATTCCAGGTTATATAAAAATTTGTATCACCTGAGCTCCACCTGGAAAAACTTCATTCCAAGATCCCCTTGCTATGCTCTCAGCCACATCTCAGTTCCCTCCCCTATTCAAACAAATGTACAAAATAGAATAAAACAAAATCCTCACTGTTTAGTTGCAGGCTACAGCTCTTTCTTACTTCAGTTTCCTTTAGCTTTCCAGCAAATACTGCTGCAATCAGTTTTCTGTTTTATTTCGCTTCCCAAAGTCCAATTTCTTCTGTTTCCTATTACTTTTAACTGGAGTGATCTCATGATTTTACATAGAAGATTATTAAGAGAAAGGTTCATAATATAAATAAAAGGGTATATGAATTTTGTACAGGAGAAACTTGAGCTTGAAGAGAGAGATTAACTGACCAAAGATACAAAAAGTTAACAATATGAGAGAAGCTGTCAGATACAGATGTAAGAAAAAGTCACCTTGTCCATTTTCTTGAGGTTTATTTTTCTTCCAAAATTCAGATTCACGCTCAAGTTCTTCTAATTTAAAAGAAAAAAAAGTATAAAAATAACAGAAACAATCATAAAATATGTCATAGAAATGTTGATTTCATAAAACAGAAATCTGCAAGAAGCCAAAGAGCAACTTACGTTCTCGTAGTCCAGGGACCAGTTTAAATATGATTTCCTCTAATGTATTATCCAACCTTCCAAAGGGGAAAAGAGAACATACTAACAATGAAGACAGCAAAATCCAATACATAAGCAGTTTGCGATCTCTAGCTTACACGTATTACAAATGTAGAACACGCTCAGTTTCAGCACACCTATTTCCAGCCTCTCCCACAGCGGTAGGGTGATTACAAAAATGGTCCCAGTCCCCAGCTTTCTCGATATCTACACCCTCTGAACATCACTTTGAATTCCTCTCTTAATGAAGGGATGGAGTCTCTCTCTCTACCCCAAAAATACAGGCTGGCCTTGAAATATGCTTAGGCCAATAGAATATGACACTGTGCTTAGTTCTGAGCCTAGGCCCGAAGAGGCATCTCATGCTTTTGTGTGCACCCTTTCTTAGAATCCTGCCAACCATGAGAACAAGTCTGGAGGATGAGGTACCATGTACAAGAGGACCAAACTGCCCTGCTGAGGCCACCTAAGCCTAGGTCACTGAAGGCCCATCCCCAACAGGACAGACTGCTCTGCTGATAACAGATGGTCCTACCTATCCAGTCAGCAGCTAACTGCAACTGCATGAGTGAGCCCGGCCAAGACCAGAAGAACCACCTAGGTCTATAAACCACAGAACTGTGAGGAATGAGAAATGCTTTAAAAAAAAATTGTTTTAACGTCATCCTATGAACTGAGAGGTCCCAGTTCCATTCCCAGTCAGGGTGTGCAGGAGGCACCTGATTGATGTATCTCTCTCTCCCCCTTCCTCTCTGAAACAATCAATAAAAAAGGGGAAAAATTGCTTTAAGCATGACATTTAAGGGTGGTTGGTTTTTCAGCAATAGGTGCTATATTCACTCTCAAAATCTCTAACACAGCTATGGCTCTTTCCTATAAAGGCAATAATCTCCATTACTATCTTCTGAGAAATTTAGACCATTTGGTCATTCTATCTTCCTAGATAAAAAAATATAAATATTTATCTTGATATTATTCTAGTCTTCTTTTCCTGATAAAAATGTAACCCTTCCTATTCGTGGCTTTGGTTTCGTGACTCGTTCTCTTGCTCCCACACACCCTTCAGTCTCCATACTTTCATCCTGCTGGGCAGCATCACTCTTCTCTAACTACACATCATGTCCAGTTCTATGGATCTGAAACACCTTTATTAAACTTACTGTCTCTTCAAGCTAGTAGCTGTTTCCTAATCTTTTCTTCCAATTGGAAAAACTTTGAAAGCATAATTGACATTATCTGTCACATACTCTGTGTTTTGTTTCCTTTACTCTCTTGACCCCCCAAATCATCCATAACTTTCAACTGAATAGGTTTAAAAATCATTTTAGAATAAAAAAATTTTTAAATTTTAAAACTTTAAAAGTCATTTTTCTCCTGTATTGCCTTGTAGTAGTTTGATAGGGTTGTCTAAAATTGCCTCCTTTAAAGTGTGCTTTTCTGTTTTTTTTTTTTTCCCTGTCTACCCTTTCTTTGTCCCTAAGTATTTTTCTTTTCCAGCTACCTCTAAATCAAGTCTTTTTTTCCATGCTCTGCACACTTTAACCTTTTCTGTAGGCTGCCTTTTCTTTTGTGACTTCATATAAGCAGATAACATATATTTAAACTAACTTTCACATATTTATATCAAAATTATGTATTTAATTACAATTAAACTACCATATAAGCAATATAAGCAGACAATTTTTATATACACACATTACATCTCTGCTGTGCTCAAGTTCCATATTTTCAACAGATGCTAACTATCTGAAGCACTGCCTTTTGTTTATCTATGTCAACACTGTCTCATCCATCCTTCAACAAAATATTGAATACCACTCTTTGTCTTATTTTCCAAAAATTAATTTAGAAATGAGAACATATCTTTCCAAAAAGGCTCTAAATGCAAGAATTATCTTAACACATACACCCCAATTCACACATTTAAGTCACCCAGCTCCACTGACTGCTCCTCCTTGATAGTTCTCCCATCTAGTCTTTCCACACTTCCCACTCTTCCAGTTCCTCGGTTCCCACACTCCACAGAGGACAGTGTACACCTGTTTTCCTTTAACTTGACAGGCTCACACAATGATCAAATTAATGCTTAAGAAAGATTCACTATTTGCCTTGCTCAAGAACTAATTTCTTCCCACCACCTGGCTTCAAGTATTTCTCTAACTTGAGTCCAACCTACAAACCATAGCTGGTGTTACTCTCTTATCATCTCTCTTCCCTAGCCAACAGGCTTATTCAGTTCTCCATAAGGATGCCTTGTCTTTTGCAATCTGTTTCTCTCCCTCATGCTCTTCATCCTGACTCGATTACTCTCCAACCAAACAAATGTTACCTTATTCTCCAGACTTAAATACTAACTTGTTCACAAAGTTCCCCCTAATTTTTAATAGTAGTACTTAAAAGTAGCATTTCTCTTCTTCTTAACTTAGTATTTTTATACAAAATTTACAAGTCAAACTTCCCCATACATCATATGGGGAATAAAACAGCATATTCTCATCCTGATTGCTACAATCCCAGAGGCAACCACTTTCAATCCAACCTTTTTCTTCTAATATTCACTTTGTGCATGTGAGTACACACACCCACACCCACACCCACCCATGCTTTTCCTACTTTTTATGAAAGATAAAAGTTGAGTTTTCTGACATCCTGCCACCTCCCCCTTTCCTCCTAACATATACCTTTTCCTTATGTTCATCTTCCTGACATAGTCTTATTATCATTTTTTTAAATTTAATAACCAGTGTTTGTATGGTTATGATTATATAAATATTCAGTGTACTATGACTATAGATACCCCCTCATTCAGCCTTTTCCTTTCCCTGGAGTTAGAAAATAAAGAAAAGAAAGTAATTACTATGTACCTATTCCCGAATTCTCTAAAAGCATTTCTTCTCACTATAATACAAACAGACCAGGAATCAACTAGTTTCAGTCTGTTCCTCTGAGACACCCCTGACCCATTCAATGTCCTCCTACTCCAGTTTAGGACTGATTCAATCCACAGTCCATCAGTGAAGCCAAACCTTGTATATACTCCAATTCCCTGGCCCCCACTCACTCACTTATTTGGTACAACCTCAGCTCTAGTTAAATCCAATTCTCCATTAACTCTGCACTTAGCACTCGTGGCTGGGAAAAAACACCCCACAAACACACCCCTTCAAATTCATAACTGGGACCCAAATGTACCTTTAAGGTTGCCATGAATCCCACTACATTCATTTCCTGGACAACATACGTTTTTCTCTCCTCAGACTCCTAGCTCCCTCCACCCTTACTAGTGAAGATCCTCCCCTGTCCCCTCCCAGTACATTTAGGTCATCTGGGTCCACTCAATCATCACCACCATCCTTTTGCTTTCCAGTTCCCATTTTGCTGCATCACTTCTCATCCTTTCGACCAGTATTTATTGAGAATCTGTTCCAGGAGTGCCAGGAATCCTGAAGTTCTTGTTCTTACTAACTCTGTGAGTTTGTCTTTCAAAAATTTCTTTTGTAGCAATTTTAGTGGTATAAAATAAAAAATATCTATATGTAAAAGATATCATTTGATAAACAAACAAAACTATAATATAAAGGGTAGATGAAAGTATTATACCAATGTAAGCATACTGTGGTTATGTATGATAATATCTCTATTCTTAGGAAACACATATAAAGTATTCAGAGGTAAGGGTGATAATGTACGTAATTTACCCTCAAGTGAGTCAGGAAAAAAAAAACAAAACAGAGCAAACATGTCAGCATATGATAAAGCAAATGAGATAAAATGTTAACAAAAGACTAATTTGAGTAAAAAGAATACAAGTATTCCTTGGACTACTTTTATTTTTGCAACTTTTGTAGTTTTTAATTATTTTCAAATAAACTTTTAAAAAGTATATGGTGATATACTTTAGCCAAGGGATTAGATTTGATTAAATAGATACCTGAAGGAATGAAGTCACTAACAATCAAAGCCAAAAGTTAATTTTGTTACCACATAGTAATTATTACCTGCTCCATTTTAAAGTGCTATTGTTTAGTTTTTGATAAAAGCATCAGGAAAAAATCTGGCAGGAAAAATGTGCTCTGTTCTCCTCTGAATTATTTTAATCAGGGTTTCTCGCCCTCTCAGCACTACTGACATGTATGGCTGGATCTTGGAGGGTGGGGGAGGGAGCTGTCCTGTGACTTAAAGAATGCTCACCAGCACCCACCTAGTCCTGACATCAAAAATACCTCCAGACATTGTTAAATGTATGCTGGGGTCCTGGGGGAACAAAATCACCCCTGGCTGAGAAGCACTAATATACATACAATCAGCAGAAGCCTTCCTTGCTCAGGACCATGGACTACAGCACACCAATGGCTCTCAATGTCAGCACATTTCAGAACCATCAGAGAACTTCATACCTACAACCGGCTCCACTCAGAGTTTCTGATTCAGCAAGTCAGAGGTGGGGTCTGAGAACTGTGACCCATAGTTTGTGGACTATACTTTGAAAACCACTGGGCTAGACATTTATCTATAGATAAATTACTCCAACTACAGGCACTAAAATGGGGGGTGGGAAGGAGTCTGAAATGTAAGACTTGCAAATCCAGATTTATGGAACGATGGCAAACAGAAATGAACATTATATAATATGACTACCTAGAGAATATCTTAGTGCTATTTTTAGATGTGTACTTCCCTAAGATCCCAGTTTATCTGTGCTAGAGCTATGGTACGAACAGGAAGAAAATAGGTTTAAATAGTAAGAAAACCTGGCTTGAAGCTAAGAAGTGCCATTTGAGTTTGCCGAGACCTTCGGCAAAGTCATGGTAAATTTCAATTTTCTGGCAAAAAGGGTTTGGATTAGGATCTTACAGACCACTTCCAGCTTTAACAATATAAAATTTAAGTATGATCGTATGTTTTACATAAATGTTTATGAACTCTTTTTTTAAAAAATTTATTTTTGTTACAGATGTTTCTCCTTTCCCCCCATTGATACCCTCCTCCCGATCTTGCCTCCCCCTGCCCCGGCATTGTCGTGTGTCCACTGGTTATGCACACACGCATCTAAGTTCTTTGGTTTATCTCTTCACTCCTCCTGACCCCCTCTTCTGAGGTTTGTCAGTCTATACCCTACTTCTATGTCTCTGGGTCTATTTTTGAACTCTTTTTTGAACATGATAAATTTTTAAAAACTTAATAGCACCAAGAATGGTCTTCCTCACTATTAGATCTGTTCTCTTTCCCCTGCCACATAGAATATTAAAATACTGTGGGGGGGGGGGGCAACTACAATTAAAGTAACTCTGAGAGCCTGAGATAAAGTTATAATTTCTAACTTGGAAATGTATTTCTCAAATATTTAATATGTACAGCCTTATTTTTCTAATTCTTTTAAATAAAATGCTTTAAAATGAAAATCATAAAATTCATACAATCTACATTAACTGAGTCAAGGTGCCAACAAATATTAGGATGCATAATAAAAATTATTAAGCATTTATATAATTTATTTAAGTTAGATGAACTATAACATACATTTACTTACCTCAACATTTCTAATGGATTTGTCTCATGAACTTGGTTGCCACACCTTGGACAATCATTACTATCTTCAAAGTGCTGAACAATACAAGTCTTACAGACTAAGAAGAAAGAAGGTGTTAGGTTAAAATGCATCATTTGAATTTAAACTGAATGCAATTAGAAATAGTTCTTAAACATTACCTACTATAAGTAGAGTACTATTCTTTAATCAAGCTTGATTAAACCTGAAAATTATAACACTGAAAAGAGACCCAACTGAAATAAAAACCTGTTGCCACAATATAAAAAGTACACACCATTTTGTTTATTGTTTTTCTTAACTATATTCACAAACCAAATAACTTATTCATACTAGTATAAAAAAGCTAGTTCATTTACATAAAACAGGTTTTTCTTAAAGAATAGGACTAAAAAAAATGATTTTTATCTTTACTGATAAAAAACTTGGGTTACTTTTGATTGGCAGGGGGTATCTGGAACAAACCAGGAGTTACAATGGATCTCAGCTTTTGAAGAGTATGAAGAGCCCGTGCCTACAGGTCCCATGATTTCATGAGACAAAGTACAGAAGTGACACTGAGCTGGCACAAAGGCACGGGAGGTCAAGTGAAAGAATGACTGCAAAACTGACAGGGAAAGTTAAGATTTTAAATAAAGATTCTAAACTAAGATAACAGAAATATGATTTGTGGATTTTTGGCCACAAACACATATAGCCTACATTTCCTTCAAAAAATACTAATCTTTCTTGCTGTGAATCTCTCTCACCTTTTCCCTAAGCTTCTAATTACCTACTATGTTAACTGTCTGGTCTCAAAACCTTAGACACAGTTACAGCACTGAACTATTAAAAAAATCTTCAGTCCACGTCCCTATCCCAATAACCACACCTCCATTTTATTAATCTGTATAATCTGAAACTACAGACAGGCTCCTCCAACCCCTATTTTACAACTCCACTACAAATTACTTCTTTTCCTCCTCCTCATGACCTACATATCTAAAAGAGGTAAAAGTTTATCTAAACAATTGAGCAAGAGTAAACACTAAAGGATTCCTATCACTGAGATTAGGTCTGAAAATTCAAGAAAATTACACATACTAGTCAGAGCAACGATGGTCAGGAAACAATTCTACTAGGTGTCTAACTTTAAAATCATTACTATATGTACAGAATAATATCTTGGTGTTTCCTTTCATTGATTCAATAGACATTTATGGAGGGCCAGACATTATTCTAGGAGCTGGGATGCAACTGTAAATAAAACAAAGTCCATACCCTTATGGAGATTATATTCTATTTGGGATGGCAAACAAAGAATTTAGTAAAAATTGAGACTGCAAAAAAAAAAAAAAAGGTAGAGAGAATTGGGGGGCTGCAGCTATTTTAGACAGGGTGGACTTTCTAAGAAGGTAACAGCTGAGCTTTCTTTTTGTTAAGTGCACTTGAATCTCTTATTATCTACCTCCTTATACCATTACATACAGCTATTAAGGTAACACCCTTCAGTAGAGTTCACTCAAAATTTGGATGAAACTATTAGAAAACATTAAAAATAAAAACACTTAGATATGAATATATCCTCTTGTCCTCCAAATTTCTTGGTCTCAAAAAGGTGATAAATGTCTTTTAAAAAGTCAAAATAGTGTTTGGGAAGGGAGGACTACCCTGTTAAGCCATACTGAAGTGGAGGACAGAGAAGCTGAATTCCTCTAAAGCTGGTATTTATTCTTTTCCCAGGGACACTAGATACATCTCTGAAATTTGGGGAAGAAGGCAAAAAACAAACAGATTAGAGACAAGAAGGAAGGGATATTACAAAGGCTGATCCTTGTGGTTCAAAAGGTTTATCATATTCAATGATTCAGGAATTCCTGGTTGTCTATCAGCCTTGGCCAAATAGAGAGGCACGTGATATGCCCAGAGCAAGCCCTAATATGAGTCAGCCAAAAGGTAAAGGGTAGGACAAAAATACCAGGTTGCTGAAGAAAGAAATGTAAACCTCATCCATCTAGAGGTACACAGTTTCAAGAATAAGGCTGTGTTAATTGCTTCAGGCCAAGCCACCACCAGTGCCAAGGATGCTGATGGGGAATAGTAATCTATATTCCAAAACTGGACTGTCCAATGTGGTAGCCACTATCCATGTGTGGCTACTGAACACATCATGAAACGCTGCTAGTCAAGTTGAGATGTGCTTCAAGTGTGAAATACAACAGACTTCAGAAGATTAGCATGAAAAAATCATTTCAATAAATTTTTATATTAATTTCATGTTGAAATAATATTTTAGATACATTGGGTTAAATAAAATAATAAAATTATTTTCATGTGTTCCTTTTCAAAAATGTGCTTTTAGAACATTTTAAATTACATAGGTGGCTCACATTTTATTTCTACTGAACAGTGCTGTTCTAAAGGGAGATAAAAAGCCCATTCATTTCACACCAATGTTTAAAATAACAGTATATTATTTTAACTTTGCAGAAGAAGAGGTTCCTACAGGCCGGGGAACTTGTCTACTCTGATGAATGGCAGCACAGACTTGAATCCAGGTTTTCTGATACAAAAATCACAAAATTTATGTCAAATTTTAAAGAATGTTTTTAACTTTACAAAGGAAAAGAATGTTACGTAGAAATACTATCTCTCCCAAACATCTTAGCATCTCTATTAAATCTGACCACCAAGTAAACAGGACAGATATAAGCCGTCCCGAGGCATAGAAATTTACCTTATTCTGCTGTATTACATTAAAGGAATTAAATGCAATTTTTTTTTTCAGAGGCTAAGGCCAAAAAATTGTTTTTAATTTTTTTAAATTTTATAAAGAAAAATTAAGATTTTGAAACATAATTTTACTCTAGTTTTTGTTTTTGTTCAAATGATATGGTGGTGACTGTCAATGTCATCTTAATCATTAGCAACGGGTTTATATACCAGCCACCACCCTAAGTGCTTCAGCACATACTTAATTCAACACAAGTTAATTATTTAATCCTCACTACACTCTATTAATTAGGTAACATTATTTGGCCTTTACAGATGGAGAAAGTAAGCAGGGAACCTCATCAGTTTGCCAAAAATCATAGGTGCATCAGTAAGGTGGTGAAAGCCAGGATTTTAATCAAGAGCCAATTTTCTTAATCAATACATGTCTGTAAGATACACTTTCTTCTCATTTTACTTCTATAGGTCTGCAATAATTTTTTTAAAAAAGCTTTACCCCTTAATTTGGGAGCTTTAACTATGTCTACTTACAGAATTAGATCTCCTTTTAAACTGAATATTTAGCATAAAATAGATTATTTATTGCCTTAAAAAATTGCTTAAAACAACAACAACACAAAAAACAGTTGCCGATTCCAAAATGGTGGCGGAGTGAATGGAAGCTACACAGTCTCCCAGAACCAAACTGGAATTACAAGTAAAACACAGACAAATCGACGGGAAAAAGCAACAAAAAAGCAGCTTGCGAGAACCATTCAACCAGGGACACTGACTCCATCCCGGTAGGCTTGCGAAGGCGCGAGACCAAGGCTGGGAGCCCACAGTCGGCAGCTCGGCAGCGACCTCAGCACTGACCACGCCCTCGGGTTACACTCCCAGGCGGCTCCACAGCGCAGAGCCGGGACAGAGGCTAAAATAGCCACAGCCACTCACCTTGGGCTCCGGCAAAGGGAGGGCAGACGGGATTGGAACTGTGTGGGGACACTCGGGGTTTGGAGGGCGCTCAGAGCTTTGGCTGAGTGCAGCCACGCAGGATGGTGGCCATTTTGCTCCTTCCCAGGGCTCTGGGGAGAGGCAGCAGCCCCTCCCTCGGAGATCCAGCCCCACCCTGTGGGCCATTGAAGTACTAATTGAGGCTCACTGACAACCAGCATCTGCCCCACCCTCGGGAAATCCCCTATGCTGAGCACCTGAGGGAGTTTTTCAATCAACTGACAACCCAAAACTCATCAAGTAACCTGGACTGCTAGCCTCCGGGCAAAAAGTTAGTGGATAACAATACCATCCATGGGCTAGCAACTCTAACCAGGAAAGTAAGACTTGACAGTGGTGTTTAACGTGGGTCCTCCCTCGCTCATCTAAACCCAGGAGAGGGAGCCACAAACAGCAGGACACCCACAGAGAAAACTTGGCAGACTGTGAGAGCCAAAATGGTGAAACACAGAAACAAAAGCCAAATGAAAGAACAAGAGACCTCCACCTAAGATGATACCAATGTGGAGCAGTTAGGCAAGTTAACAGAGCTAGAATTCAGAGCCATGATCTTGAGGAAGCTCAACAGCATGAGTATAGACATAGAGATGCTGAAAATAAACCAATTGGAATTTAAAAACCACCAGGAAGAGATCAAGAGTGATATATCAGAAATAAAGAACACACTGAAAGGTATAAAGAGCACAGTAGAGGAAGCTGAGGACCAGATCAGCGAATTAGAACACAGGGTAGAAAAAAATCAACCAATCAGAAAACCAAAAGGAAAAAATTATTAAAAAACAGGAAGACAGCTTAAGAGAACTGTAGGACAACTGGAAATGTAATAATATTGGCATAATAGGAGTCCCCAAAGAAGAAAATGAGCAAAGGTTAGAGAATGTATTCAAAGAAATAGTGACAGAAAACTTACCTAATTTGGTGAAGGAAGAAGGCATTCAAGTTCAAGAAGTAGAGAGCCCCAAGTAAGAAGATCCCAAACAGGCCCACACCAAGACACACAGTAATTAAAATGCCAAAAATTAAAGACAAAAAGAGAGTCCTAAAAGCAACAAGAGATATGCGACAGGTTACCTACACAGGAAACCCCATAAGTCTCTCAGCTGACTTCTCACAAGAAACATGACAGGCCAGAAGTGAATGGCATGAAATAATCAAGGTCATGAAAAACAAGGATGTGAATCCAAGACTACTCTACCCAGCAAGGCTGTCATTCAAAATAGAGGGTCAAATAAAGAGCTTCTCAGACAAAAAAAGGCTAAGGGAATACATTAGTACCAAACCAGCACTACTATAAATGTTAAAAGGACTGCTGTAATTAGTAGAAAAAATAGGAAGAAAAACATAACCAAACTAAACAAAAATGGCAATAAATAA